TTGTTGAGCGTAAGGCTGAGAGATGGACTTGAAATAAGAAGCACAAGTAAAGGTTACTTTGGGTCTAGGAGCCCACACCCTTTTATCTGGCCTAGAGAGATCCAAGCAAACCTGATTAAGGCAACATAGCAAGTCAGAGAGAGATTCAATTTCATCATCCCTTGGTCCCCTACGAAATCCAAAATCCCAATTAGGAGCCAAGGGTGTTCCCAATGGTGAGACAAATTTTAAGACCACCTCCTTTTTATACAAAGAAACAAAAAATAACAAAGGGAAAATGTCCTTTAAAGGGGTGTCTCCTACCCAAATATATCCTCCCAAAAGCGAACAGCATTGCCAACACAAACTCCATACCTAATAAAATTGAGAAATTGAGGAAGGGTGTTGTAAATGGCCTTCCAAGGTGTTGCCAGGTTAGCCTGCCTTGATACACTAACATCCCATCCATTCTCTAAACTCCCAGAAATGCTTCCCACCACCTCATGCCACAGCCTCTCACTTTCCAATGGCCATCGCCACAATCATTTCCCTAACAGAGCTTGATTTTTTTCAATCACCCAAACCCCCCTCTTCTTTACTTCTGCAAACATGTTCCCATTTAACAAACGATCCTTTTTTTCTTGTCCCGGCTCCCATAAGAAGCCTCTCATCAACTTCTCCAGCTTCCTAGCTTCCCTAGCTGGTATCCTAAAAACAGACATAAAGTAAATAGGTAAGTTAGCCAAAGTAGCTCTTATTAAGGTGATTCTCCCTCTTAAAAAGATATAATTCTTCTTCCACGAAGCTAATCACTTCTTGAACTTTTCTAGCATTGGGGTCCAAAATCTACTCTCCCTAGGATTTGCCCCTAATGGAAGCCCTAAGTAAGACATAGGCCAAGAAGAGATGGAACACTCAAGGCACTCTGCAATAACCTCAATCTCCCCAACCTCCAAGTTTATACCCGCTATGCAACTCTTCTCCACTTATTTTCAGATTAGAAACCCTTTCAAATCCTTTGATTAGCTCCTTTAGGTTTGCTACCTTCTCGCTAAAACCTCCTTCACAAAAGATCATTAGGTCATCTGCAAACTGAAGGTGGGTGATTGGGATTTGATGTCTCCCTATTCTCCAATCCCTAATGGCATCTTCTCTATTGACCTTAGTAATGATCTAGTAAGGTAAAAAGGAAGGGTGAGAGTGGATCCCCTTGCTTTTTTTTGATGAATAATAATAAATTTATTGATTCAGAAGCAAATTAGAGTGAVTTYATACATCATCCCARYGAGAGGCRYRAGCTRCAGCCCCTCCTTGAAACTTACAAGTAAACTAGGAAAGAAAAACAAGAATCACAACTAAGCCCAAAATAATTCTTCCCTATTTATCCCTTGCTTAGCTAACACA